CTTAGGCCTACACCTGGCTAGTATTACATAGTTACCAACCGTCTCGCATCGTGCGGGACGGTCCTGCACATGCGGGATCGTAAATTTGTCACGCATTTAGCACAAGTCTATGCGTGATAACGAATTATCACTAATTCTGGGGAAAAGGTATTTAAACTAGAGGAATTTGTTTTATTAAATGCAGTGACCAGGAATGGAGCCAGGATTTGCCCGACGCGGGAGGGGTAGGGACGACGTTCCCAACGGGGGGCCGATTCCCCCCGACAGGGGGTCAGATGTCCCCACGAAAGCAAAGTGGCCGTGGTCGAGCTTCGATTGAAAGGTTTCGAAAGTGGTCCAAGGGCGAAGCGCCTGAACATTTTTACAATTTGGGGGTTTCAAAGGCTTATTCAATCGATTTTTTTTTTTTCCAAGCCCGATCTTAGAGTCTATGTAGAAAATACATATTAGCACCCCCCCCCCCCCCACCCACGCTGGCGCCACCCCTGTAGTACACCTACCTACAACCACACCAGGTTCCAAAGGCCAGATGAGCTAGCCTAACTACTACTGTACTTAACAGAGTAGGCCTACTTTACTACCTGTAGTAGACTGAAGTACAGTTGCATTGCTTGCTTGAATTATGGACTGGGTACGCAGGCCAACCCACATATCTTCTCGGTCTAAGCTAGTACCGCTATGCTTTTTCTAATATCTTTTTTCATACCATAATTACTAAATGATTACCATGTATCCCCTGAACGTAGGGAGGTTTTAAGCAGATCCTTTATCTCCGTCTTCTGTTCATCGAGGATCGATCGCCCACCTTCCGCCATGATTGCTAAATTGTAAATGTTGCCTTGGGAAATCCCCGGACTACGGAAGCACCTAAGTGCCATTCGACTTGACGACTTAGTCAAGATAATAATAATTTATGTTGTCAAGTCTACATAATATACATATCATGCCGATGATATTTACTATGTCGACTTGTCAAGATAATTTATCTCACCATGACAACATACAACTTTTATTATGTCGACTTGTCAAGATAACCTATCTCGTCATGACAACAAAACATTTTTAGTATGTCGACTTGTCAAGATAATCTATCTCGCCATGTCGACATGATATGTATATTATGTCGACTTGACAACATAATTATCTTGACAAGTCGTCAAGTCGAATGGCACTTAGGTGCTTCCGTACCGGCCACTGAGAAACTATGACTTAAACTAGAAATTGCAAATTGCAAGTGAAGTGCTGCGAAGTACAACTGCATATAAATGTTCTACGAACAAAATTACCGTACTCGCGCGAATAAGCGCCCGGGCGCTTAAAATATTTTTTGCACTTTCTGAGGGGCGCTTATTCAAACTAGGCGCTTATTTAAACGGGGCGCTTATGAAAACAGGGTGGAAATTGAGGGGGCGCTTATGGAAATAGATGAAAATCGAGGGGTTCTTATAGGAAATGCAAGAGGCACTTTTTGAATGAAAATTTTTTTTATAAGAGGACATTACGAATGATGGTTAGAAAAGATAATCGTCCAGAGAACATGGCTCATGACAAGAATGCATGAATATTTACGTAACAGCAAAATAGCAGATGCAATTAGGCCTAGTGGTGGTGGGTAGTGGTATAGCTTGTTAGCCATCGGCCGATTGAGATTAGCAGGATGGCAGGATTCGTTTGTATTTTTTCTTGAAAACTCAGATGAGAATGTGCTAAAGGTCGGAAAAAGAAAAAGAGGAGTAGGACTAGGCATAGACAAATATGTAAAAAGAGTAAAGTTGGAAATATACTGTCTGTCCAGGGATCGGAGCTCTCATCTGTCCAAGAGAAATATCTTCTTTTGATATTGACCGAAGAAGAATGTGTTTCCACTCTACAGCTCAACCGTTCAGTCCCAGGATTGATTGGATTATTGACTTGCTAAAAAGAAAATCCTTTGAGGAGGCGCTTATTCAAACGGGCGCTTATTCGCGCGAGTACGGTATTCATGCGAGTCAAGTGAAAATAATGAATAATAAAAATATAACAAATAATATGAGACACCGTCGATTGTATATATTAGAACACTTCTCATTGGGTAACAAAGTCGTAATTTGTCATTTTTGTCAAAAACTGTCTAAAATGGTGAATGGTTTAGGTTTTTTTTTAATAAAGTTTCAAAAATTTCTATGTATGTGGAAAATTTAGTTGATTACCAAAAGTTACAATTTTTTTTATTTTGAAGACTGCATGGTCTAGGAAGTGTACATTTTTTTATGGGGCAAGTTTCCAAGGGCGGCTTGACTGCCAAAGAGTGTTGCCAAAGTGCGAGCCAGCGTGTTATTTGATCACAAGTGCGAGACATCACAAGTGTGAGCCAGCGAGCCATGACGTCACGCCAATAGATAACCAGGGTTGCCATTTGGCCTTTTTGACGGCCAGATTCCTCAAATCTGGCCGTATAAAAATTTGCCTGGCCGTAGCATTTGAAAAGTCACGGCCAAACTATATTTGGCCGAATTTGGCCGAATTTTTGAAAAGTTTACATTTTTTTCGATATAGGTCTAATATAACGTAGACCTGTTTTGAATATTTTGTTTTTGTTAGCTTAAATTCTATACGGTATTTGATTCTAATCTTGTACCTTTGTTTGTACTTGCACTAAACACTTAATATGTTCCCCGATTCAGCCGATTTGACGATTCAGCCGATTTTACGTTAAGAGAGTTTATTTAAAGATAACAGTTACATTTAATAAATTAAATTGTTCGGATGAAATATATTGTTTATAAGGTTTATCCTCGTTTAAGCTTTATGAAGACAGTTCATTGCAAGTTTTTACCATATTGTGTGTCTTTGTACTGTAGGCTATATGTTCCATCTTACTAGTGGAGGTTCGATCTCTTTTGAATTTCTTTTGAATATAAATTAAATACTGTACTTTAATTTATTTATTATTGCCCACTTGAATTGTATAGCCCTAGGTGCCGCAGTGTTCTTTATGTAGAGTGCCATAAATGCTCGATGTGATAATTCGGGTCCGATAGCACATCCAATTTCAAGCAAGTTTTGCAGAGACTTCTTTGAAGTTACTCTGGAGTTTGGTTGCATATGAGAATGAAGAAGATAATTCTGATACTATAGCAACATTGATTTATTACTTTAAGTACTGTGGCAATAACATTCAGAGGCGAATTTCGAAAGTTTAGATAAAAAGTATTTATTAAAGTTTTCATGGGTTTGTTTTAACGCCAGTTTGTGTTACCTAACTATGTAAATTAATTCATTCTAATTAAAGCGAGCCACGGATTTGGCAATAACAGGCCCTTAAAATTTTTGCTATAGATCGACTACAATGTACATAATCAGGCCCGTAGCCAGGTCATTTCAAGGGGGGGTTCTCTGGGCGTGGGGTCCAGAGGTGGCACCAGGATTTGCCCGGGGGTGGGGGCGGTGCCCCGACGAGGGGCCAGATTCCCCCCACGAAAGCAAAGTGGGCGTGGTCGAAAAGTGGTTCTAAAAGTGGTCCTGGGGGTGAAGCCCCCGAAAATTTTGACAATTCAGGGTTTCAAAGGCTTATTAAATCGATATTAGAGTCCGGCTCAAGCACAAATACTGCCATTACTACTGATAGGGCCATCGTTAAATTAAGTCAGAGCCCAAAATATAGCATAATTCGAAATTATTATTTTAAGACTTTATAACATAATACATAGCCTACTGATTAATAATAGCTGAGATGCACATTTCAGAATTAATAATCGTTTTTAGTATATCTTACTGAATATTTATTGTCTACAAAATAAAATATGAATTACATGCATCTTTAGAAATACAATTTCTACAATATTATTCTTGTTTTTATGTAGATAAATGTTCGATAAATTCTTTCTTTCATAAAAAAAAAAACAAAAAAAAAAACCACGAAATTTAGCGCGTCTATTTTCATTCTAATCAATGGCGTTTGTAAACGTGCACGGACGTCATCGTCGAATCCCAGGACTTCCGACGGTAAAGCTGGCCTGCCTGCCTACCAATAATAATTAACAAAATGTATTTTTTTAAATATAGGCCTATGGCGCATCCTGTACATGCACTTCAACTTTTACAACAAAAGCCTAGGCCTAGTAGGCCTACCTGTAGTACGTTATACTGTACTTAGGCCTACACTTTGTTGTCGTCGGGGTATAATTCTGTATCTACATGAACAAGGAGCGAACCTAGCTAGTCAACATCTAGGCTAGGCTAATTGATTTTAAAATCAATAACCCACCAGGACTATCTGTCGTTTTCTTCTTTGCAACAGCGGACAAAAAAAGTCAGTTATTCTACAACGTTTCATGATTCTTTATCACTAAACATTAACAAACACTCGTTTTGACGCACTCCGTTCTGTAGCGTGTCTGCTGTTTAAAACAAACTTCCTAGCCTAATTTTGAGACTGGCTATGATGACTGAGATGGACTATGTTGATTTATTAATAATATTTTGTTTGGGATGAAAAAAAAGGAGAGTCCATTTAGCCAAAATGCTCCATCAGCACATAGTTTAGTGTGCGCGATGGGACAGTATGGCTATGGAATTTACGAACCACACAATCCACATTTAGGTGATTAAGTCGCAAAACTTTATTTGCATTTGGTGGATTAAGTCGCAAAACTTTAGCTTCGTTTGGTGGCACCATTTACTCTAGGTAGACGGCGACCGGTTTCGTTACCGGTTGGTACATTTCTTACAAACATTCAGCCAAAGGCCAGTGAAAGTGGAGACGGCAGCCGTGTTTTTATCGATGTTTGCCATCCTTATGTGTGCCATCGTAAAGGAATTGCGTTTTAATTTAAATCTCCGAACTTCTGAAGCTGACATATCCTATGAATGTAGGCTTGTAATGCAGGCTACAATTTAAAAACGGGTGGGACTCATTCAAAAATTCGAGGGGATTCGCTAGAAAACAGGGGGGTTCGCTAGAAAAGGGGGGTTCGCCCGAACCATAAAAACCCCCCTGGCTACGGGCCTGATAATATTTAATACATTTAAATCAAATTTAGATCAATTTTAAATAGCAGAGGTGGATTTAAGGGGAAGGGGTGGTAAAAAAAATAAATAAATAAAAAATAAAAATTGATCGCCTAAATGCATCAGGTTATTTTCGGGCGTCTAGAAAAGACAAATTTTCTCTAAGATGGTGTTATCTCGATCGGACCTACTTTCGGCCCTTCCTCCCCTTTTTTCGGCTCCGGCCCTCCCCTTTCGGACATCTCTGGATTTGCCCCTGAATTGGCCTGCATGACAACAACTAAAGAACATAGGCTATTTATTTTCAACATTGCTCTGTGTATATCATTTGAATTTCTTCAATTTCAAACGAATGACCGCTGATTTTCGTATAATTTTTGTAAAATTTCAAATGAATGTACCCACTGTTGTCTTCTAATCGGATTAAAATCTGGCCGAATTTTGGCCGATATCGAAAAAAAAGTTTGGCCGAATTTGGCCGTGAGATGGCGTGTGTTTGGCCGTGAAGCCTGTCGACTATCTGGCAACCAGGGTTGCCATTTGGCCTTTTTGACGGCCAGAATCTTCAAATCTGGCCGTATAAAAATTTGCCTGGCCGTAACGTTTGAAAAGTCACGGCCAAACTATTATTTGGCCGAATTTTGTGAAAAGTTTACATTTTTTTAATACAGGTCTAATAAAACATAGACTTGTTTTGGATATGTTATTTTGTCGGGGACGTAGCCACCGTTCCGGTTGGTCAGTTTTCAATCTGAACATATTTTGGAAGTTAATTAGGTTTTGAATAGGAAAAGGGGATAAATTACACCTGTATGTTTAGACTCAACCTACTCTCTCTTTGACATAACTTAGGAACC